CCATCCTGGGGGGGAAATGCAGGGATGCTGGTTGAGGGAAGGGAAAAGGGAAATAACTGATGGGGACTTCTTTCCCTTGAATGCTTGGGAGGAAATGGGGGTGTCAGTGGCTGTGTCAAGGTCACTGCAGGGAGGGGGGTCTCTGTCTTTCTTCAGGACTCCCCAAACCATCCTCCTGTCTGTCTTTCAGGCCTTCACACATGGCAGCTGATGTATGGCTGTGAGCTGCAGAGAGACAAGAGCAAAAGAGGGTTTTATCAGTATGGCTACGAAGGGAGGACCTTCATCACCTTCGACAAGGAGACCCCCACCTGGGTGGCTCCCGTCCCCCAGGCCCAGATCACCCAGAGGAAATGGGATGCTGCTCCAGGATATTATCCATACTGGAAGTCCTACCTGGAGAAGGAATGCATTGAGTGGCTGGAGAAGTACCTGTCCTATGGGAAGGAGACACTGCAGAGGACAGGTGAGCATCTGGATCCAGGCTGGACTTTCCTCCTTTATGGCTCTATTTCCTGTACACATTCAGCCCCTTTGGGTCCCTGGTCTTTAGCCTGTTTGCTCTGGTGGGAATCCTCCTCCTCCTCTTCCAGCACCTCTTGCATGTAGACCCCCACTCTCCCCTAGGTCTACCCCTCCCCCCCTTGGGTCCTTCATCCCTCCAGGATCAGGTGGATGAGATTAGGATCATTGAGGGAAAACAGGAGCCCCCACTGATGATTGCCCACAGCCCCTCCCTGCCTGGGGAAGACCCTCTCTCTCTTCCATTGGCATCAACCTCTCTCTGCCCCCCCCCTACACGTTCAGAGACAAAACTCTTTTCCCAATTGATCAGCTCTTTTCCCCTTTGATCTCTCTTCCTCTTAAAATTGGGGTTGTGTCCCTTGGAAAGAGGCCTGGAGCAGCCTCAGATTCAGGGGAGCAGAAGAGGAAAAGAGTAAAAAAAAGTAGGGAGAATCTTCTATGTTGTTGTCTTGAAAGGGAATCTAAAAGACCATCTCCACTTTCCCTCCCCTGAAGGGAGCAGCCCAAGATCACTCAGAGTTTAAAGCAGCCAGAGAGGAATTTCCTTGGAGCCTCAATTTGCTTTTGGAGGTTTTTCAGGCTGAGTCCCTGGGAAGGACTCAAAATCAGGAGTTCTTCTGGTTGAGCCTTTTCCAGATCTGGATAATTTCCTAAAACTCCTGGAGACGCTGCAAGTGTGGAATGTGAATCTTTTGGTTAAAACTAAGTGGTGGGAGATTTTCCTGCCCTCCAAGTTTCCCATCCACCTTCCAGGTTCTGGAGAGGCTCAGAGTTAATTCTGGGGGTGCCGTTTCTGCAGAGACCCCAAAGGTGATGGTGAGCAGCCGGACGGAGGTGGAGGATGGGATGGAGACGCACATCTGCCACGTGGATGGCTTCTACCCCAGGGAGATCGATGCCTCCTGGAGGAGGGATGGGGAGGTATGGCTGGAAGAGACCTTCCATGGGTCTGTGGCCCCCANCATGTGACCGGGCAGGTATGGCCAACTTGACATCACTCAAGCACACTCAGTCACATGACCACCACCCCCAAGCAATGTGGCAAAAAGTTTTGGAACTCCTATGAAGGGGGGGGGAGAGGGGAAAAACCGAGGTGGCGCAGTGGTTAGGGTGCAGTACTGCAGGCCACTTTAGCTGACTGTGATCTGCAGCTCAGCGGTTCAAATCTCACCAGGATCAAGGTCGACTCAGCCTTCCATCCTTCCGAGGTGGGTGAAATGAGGACCCGGACTGTGGGGGAAAGTTGCTGACTCAATTTGCTAAAAAAAAAATTGTAAACCGCTTAGAGAGAGCTGAAAGCCCTATGAAGCAGTATATAAGTCTAATAAATAAATAAACCTCCCAAAAATAGACAACTGGAGGATTAAGGGCTGAAATTAGGGAGAGAAGGCAGGACAGAGGGGAATCCAGTAGAAATCTATCACACACTGGGGAAAGAACTTTGGGAGATCGGTGGAGGCAAGACAGAGGGGAATCCAGTAGAAAACTCCTGAGCTTGCCTGTGCTGTCTGGTGGATTGTGCTGCTGGGGGGTGAGCGTGGAGCGACAGGGCCAGGGCAGGCTTTCTGGAAGTTACTTCCAGGTCCATTTCACCATCCAGTTCTCCCGATCCGGTGCGAACCAGCAGAAACCCACCACTGGTCTGGTGGCTCCTCCAGCCCCATAATCCCCTCTCCAGAACCAGAGGGGGGAGAAAGGGGGGTCCCTTCAAAGGGAAAGGCTCCTTCCACATCTTTTGAAAAGCCTTTTTTTATATATGTTTATTCTTTTTTTTTAAATGAATATAAGATTGTCCTTGTCTCCATTGCTGACCATTTCTGCCAATTGCAGTTAATGGAAATGTGTTTAAATTTCTCCATCTCTCTTTCTGGATGTTGACATAAACTGAGGTTAAAAGAGACTGAAATCTCCCCTTCCCCCATGACAGTTGGAGGGTCCTGGGTGGATCTCCTGCTGTGGGGGAGGAAGGGGATCACAGGACTCTCCCCTCCCTGAAAAAAGGGTAGGTGGATCCTAAGGAGATCCTGGGGGAAGCAGATCCTCTTCCTTCTGTCTGTTTCCACCCCAGAGAAATGAGGGATCTGGTGCAGATCCACCTGGGGAGACTAGATCCCTTTCATTCACCCCCTTTTTGGGGGCAATGAGTGGGACCCAAACGCCAGGAGCTTCTCCTCATCCTCCAGTTGGAAGGAGAGGCCGGGAAGCCCAAATGGGGTGAGGGACTGATGGGGACTTCTTTCCCTTGAATGCTTGGGAGGAAATGGAGGTGTCAGTGCCTGTGTCACGGTCACTGCAGGGAGGGAGTCTCTGTCTATCTTCTGGACTCCCAAACCTGTCTTTCAGGCCTTCACACATGTCAGAAGATGTATGGCTGTGAGCTCCAGAGAGATGGGAGCAAAGTAGGGTTTCAACAATATGGCTACGAAGGGAGGACCTTCATCACCTTCGACAAGGAGACCCTCACCTGGGTGGCTCCTGACCCCCAGGCCCAGATCACCAAGAGGAAATGGGACGCTTTTCCAGGATATAATCAAAGAAAGAAGGCCTACCTGGAGGAAGAATGTATTGAGTGGCTGGAGAAGCACCTGTCCTATGGGAAGGAGACACTGCTGAGGACAGGTGAGCATCTGGATCCAGGCTGGACTTTCCTCCTTTATGGCTGGATCTCCTGTACATATTCAGCCCCTTTGGGTCCCTGGTCTTTAGGCTGTTTGCTCTGGTAGGAATCCCCCTCCTCCTCTTCCAGCACCTCTTGCATGTAGACCCCCCCTCACCCCTAGGTCTACCCCTCCCCTCTGGGATCATTCATTCGTCCAGGATCAGCTGGATGAGATTAGGATCAATTGGGCAATTGCAAACTGGAGCCCCCATTGATGATTTCCCACAGCCCCTCACTGCCTGGGGAGGACCCTCTTTCTCTTCCATTGGCATCAATCTCTCTCTGCCCCCCCCCTTTCAGAGGCAAAATCTCTTTTCCCAATTGATCCCTATGAGATTCCCTTTGATCTCTCTTCCTCTTAAAATTGGGGCTGTG